TTTCTCTCCGCCCGTCTCTCTCTCTCTCCCCCCCCCCTCTCCTCTCTCTCTCTCTCTCTCTCTCTCTCTCTCTCTCTCTCTCTCTCGCCCTCTCCAGCTCCCCCCTCGGCTCCAGCGGCGCTCAGGCTCTGCAGCTCGCTTGCAAAAAAAAAAAAAGCCCTTTTTTTCGGGGCCTCTGCATTAGCCAATTCCATTGACAGTTTTCAGCCAGCAGCTGCAGTCATTAAACGGCATTTACACCCTGGCCTCCTTCGCACAAAGCTAGAGCTCCAACAATTATCTGCTTGTACATTTGAGGACATGAGAATGTGTCCCTAACAGGCTTAGAGAAGAGAGGGACAGCTCAGTCGCCCTGCTAGGCACAACCTGAGCAACCTCGGCCGGCCCCCACTCCCACCCCAGGAACAATGCCCAAGTTCTCTTGGCTACCCTGGCTGGGCCACCGGGCAGTGGCCTCCAGAAGTTAGCATACCGCGGCCGGCCCGGACACCTCGGGCTGGAAAGGATAGCAAGAGAGGTCCGGGGGCGCAGGCGGGAAGTCAGGGAAGAGCTCGGGGCCAACTCAGCTAAGGATCCGTCCGTCCGTCTTAAGTCTCTGACAGAAGAAGCAACAAGCCCTTGGTGGCAAAAGATACCCTGGCAAGGACTTAGGGAAGCAAAAGCCTACCCCATCGGAGGCCATCTTGGGACGGGGTTTTTTGTTTTAGATCTACCAGTGCCACCCTCGGCTAGCGGACCAGCCAAGGCGCGCTGCTGAAAGGCGAAAGGCATCGAACTTGTGGCTTCGAAAGGCTTCGGGGCCGGTCTCTGTTTGCCCCGTTGTCTGCCTGCCTCATATGTGTGGGAGATGTGCCACTCTTCCCTGGTCCTCGTGGTTTTCAGCGGGAGCCAAGACCACCTGCGTGGCCTTCCTTCCCGGGCTGTTTAGGCTCCAGGGTCACCCAAAAAATTAAGAAAAACTTCGATCCTGAGCACCACGGGTTGATGTCCCTTATCGACTTATCTTCGCTTACTGGGGAAAAAAGACCCACAAGTTTACAGAAGTAAATGTGTTTAGAACTGAGCTCTTGGGAAATAACCCCGCAAAGTAACTGTGGAAGTTTGTTATGGAGTGAGTATGATCCTAGTGTCGGAAGGAAGGAAGGAAGGAAGGAAGGAAGGAAGGAAGGAAGGAAGGAAGGAAGGAAGGAAGGAAGGAAGGAAGGGATAATGGTAAGGGATAATGGTAAGGGATAATGGTTAACTGTAGAGCCGCTCAGAGACCCCCTGTGGGGGGTTTGAGCGGGGTAGCAAGCCGAAAGTTAAATTTTAAACAAAAGGAAGCTTGGAGACTAGTTTGGTCCACTGATTTATCTTTCGTGGTGTGCTTTCATTCTGAGAGAGAGAAAAGAGAAAAAAAAAACCGGAGGGAAATCTTAAGACAGCCACCTCCATTTCCCTGGGCCCAAGAATGGCACACTCCTTTCGGTCAGTGTCGGCAGTCCTTGCACTGCGAGAGAAGGTTTGGGAAGCGCTGCTCTGGGCTGCCCTGAATTCTAATGGTGGGCTAAACACGACGGCGGACAAGTCCTGCCTGCGATCAGTCGACAAGGTCGCTGCGTTCCCTGGCCTGAAAGCTAAGCTGGGACCATGTATGGGTGGGTGGTGGAAAGAATCCTTCACCCCAGCCCCCCCCCCTTTTTTTTTTTCCGCTCCCAAAACTGTTTAAGAACACATCACTAAAGAAATGCAGAAGGGCGCCTGGTTTCCAGGAGGAAGGCGGCCGCAAGGTAGCACACCCCTGCTGACACTTCGGAGGAGAAGTGATGAATACCTAATCCGGCCAGGATCTTCCAGTCCAGTAGCTCTTCCAGTTGGACCTATTCATCTGCCACTTGGCATTTATTTCATCCGGGCTGCTCTGTGAAAGGAGCCCGACCAGTTTGGGAGTCCGAGTCAAGGCTTCTCTCCCTCTATCGCCCATCGCAGCCTTTCGAATTATGGTGATGATCGTACCTCCAATAGGCCAAGTCACGCGATGTTATTCTCCCCCCCCTTTAATTGTATATCTCGTTTCCACCACCCCCCTTCCCTCCCACTGATGTCTGCGCCATGTCCCCCCCCCCTTTTCCCTCGCCCTTCTAGATCTGCATCGGAATGCAAAGCATAGAGACTTGGGGGGGGAGTTTTGAATTCCTCAATGATTTTTTTCCCCTCTTCTTCCAGAAAGGCGGCTTAGGATAATTATTTCAGATTTATTGAGGGCAGATTAGGAGAAGTCTGGATGCTGCCTTTCAATACGCGTTCTACATGCCTTGACAATGTCCGCATTGTTTGCTACTGTGTGTGAACCCATTCAAAACATACACTTTTTAACACCAACCAAAGTCCTGTCTAAATATACACAGTAAGGCTGGAAAGACAGCCGTGACCCGTACAAATCTCTGTAAATCACACTTCCAGAGCTGCAGAAACGAAACAAAGGAGTCACTAGCTCAAGATGCCGATTAAAATCTCCTTAAAAGCAACACACCTAAGGATAAACGGAGGCGGGCGGCAGCCGAGAGGCCCCTTCAGCTGGTGGGGAGACAGGAGCTCAGCAATGGACTTTCCCGTCTGCAGCCATCGTTTTTCAAGCAAAGGAATACTTTGACTGCCGTTCGACTGGTTTTAAACCTGGGGCGGGAAGCGGGGCGGGGGTGAGCCTAAGCAAAAAGCCGGTGTGTGGAATCCGGGAAATGTCCAGATGGGCTCGCTGCAGTCTACAGTGGGCTCAAAAGGTTGCCGGGTGTGTTGAGAAGAAATCCCTACGCCTGATAAGAGGGAGAGGCTAAGAAATACTTTTCCAAGCTGCGACCCGTTCTCTCGATGCGGCTTACTCGAGAGTATTTGGCGACGTGACTGAAACAGGTCTAAGAAGGATGCAGACCCTGTTGGGTCGCGGGCCTTAAGTCGGAGCCCGAGTTTCCCTGTCGCCTGCTCGGGGGTAAATCCCACTCCCGTCAATGGGGTTCACTTCCGAGCGGGACTGTACAGTTTCCCTTGGAAGGAAAAGCCCCACTGATTCGGAGCGGGATCCAAGCGACACTTTCGAAAAAGTTTGGCGTGGAAGTTGCCTGGAGCTGTTCCTTTTGTGCCGCTCAAGTAGGGAGAAGGAGAGATAGGAGGGGGGGGGATTCCTCTCTCTCTCTCTCTCTCTCTCTCTCCCGACCCCTCGCCTCTCTCCTCCGCCCGAGCCCCGCGCACGGTGTTCAGAGGCTGCTCCCGGCAGGGTCAGCGGCCTGAGGATGGGCCTAATGATCTCATCTCGCTTTTCTTCCCCGGCGCTATTAGTGTTCAGATAGGCAGAATGAAGCGCAACTACGTGCAAATCATGTGTAAATTGTCTCCGCCAGGAGCCTTTTCTCCTCCCCGCGCGGAGCCCAGGATGGGCCACCGTCTCCTTCTTCCTAACTTCCCTTCGCTCCCGCTGACCCGTTCGCCTCAAGCGGGCTCTGCAGGACCGCGCTCACGTTTCCCTTCTCAACGTACATCCCGGTCAAGCCAGACTGATGCGCCCTGCCTGATGCGCATTTTCTGATCGTTTGTTTAGGAGGGAGGGAATTGGGGGGGGGGAGACAGGGAGAGAAGTGGAAGCGCCAAGATTAGGAGTTGCAAAGATTAAAACACACACCGGCGCGCGCACGCACGCACGCACTCTCTCTCTCACACACACACCCACCGCACACCCCGACTCCGGCCTCTCCTCTGCTCCCCTCCCCCTCCCCCTCCCACCGTCTCCCTCCTTCCCTCCCTCCCTCCCTCCCTCCTCCCCATTTCCCCTCCCCTTCGCCTTTGGGCGCAGTGGTAAGAGCCCTTTTTCTTACGTAGTCCCCGATGATTGGCAGGGCTGACAGTGATTGGCAGGGCGCTGCCATGGCGACGCCACAACGACACCCGGCAGGCCAATAGAAAAGCGAAACAAAATGCTTCGGCGCTGCACTCACTGTGGATTTAGGGGAGATATTATGAGGCTGTTGTCATTAGGGCGATCGCGGCCGAATCACTGAATCTGCTCGCCTCGGCGGCGGCGGCGGCAGCAGCAGCGGTGGCGGCGGCGGGTCTGCAGGGAGGTGTGTGGTGGGAGCGAGCGAGCGAGCGAGCGCGCCTCTGCCTGCCTGCCCGGGAGTGCGTGTGAGCAAGAGTGTTGTGAGTGTGCGCGTGTGAGCGTGTGAAAGGTGGCGGGCGGGCGGGTGAGAGTGCGCGCGCGCAGCTGTGGGTTTGGATGAGGGTCTCTATGTGGCTGCGGGAGCGTGTGCGGGTGTGGATGCGCGTGGGGTGCGTGAGCCCCCGTTCCCTCCCCTCTGCCTCTTCTCTTCTTCTCCTTCTTCTTCTGTCTTCTCCTTCTCCTTCTCCTTCCTCCTCCTCCTCCTCTTGCCCTCCTTCTCCGTCTCCTGCTGCCCGGTCTCCCGCCTCCCGCCCGGCTTGCTCGGCGCCCTGAGCCCGCGCCTTGTCCGTCTCTTGCCGGCCCCCCCGCCCCCGTCCGCCAGGCTGGGTCCCATGGTGTTCCGATCCCCTCTAGAGCTTTATCCCACCCACTTCTTTCTACCAAACTTCCCCAGCGACCCGCACCACCACCACCGCTCGCTGCTCCTGGCCAGCGGTGGCAGCAGCGCCGGAGCTGGAGGGAACGGCGGCGGCAGCGGCGGCAGCAGCAGTGCCGCCACCGGGTGCAGCGCCGGATCGGCCGGTGGCGGCGGCGGCGGCGGAGGAGGAGGCGGAGGCGGCGGAGGAGGCGCCTCGCGCGGGGCCCCGGAAGAGCTGTCCATGTTCCAGCTGCCCACCCTCAACTTCTCGCCGGAGCAAGTGGCCAGCGTCTGCGAGACGCTGGAGGAGACGGGCGACATCGAGCGGCTGGGCCGGTTCCTGTGGTCGCTGCCGGTGGCCCCCGGGGCCTGCGAGGCCATTAACAAGCACGAGTCCATCCTGCGCGCCCGGGCGGTGGTGGCCTTCCACACCGGCAACTTCCGCGACCTCTACCACATCCTGGAGAACCACAAGTTCACCAAGGAGTCCCACGGCAAGCTCCAGGCCATGTGGCTAGAAGCCCACTACCAGGAAGCCGAGAAGCTGCGCGGGCGCCCCTTGGGGCCGGTCGACAAGTACCGCGTCCGCAAGAAGTTCCCCCTGCCCCGGACCATCTGGGATGGCGAGCAGAAGACGCACTGCTTCAAGGAGCGGACTCGCAGCCTCCTGCGGGAGTGGTACCTCCAGGACCCCTATCCCAACCCCAGCAAGAAAAGGGAACTGGCCCAGGCCACCGGCCTCACCCCCACGCAAGTGGGCAACTGGTTCAAGAACCGGCGGCAGCGGGATCGGGCGGCGGCGGCCAAGAACAGGTCAGTCCCTGGCGGCAGCCGCTCCGGGAGGCCGGGCCGGGCAGGAGAGAGCGGGGGCGGGCGGGCGGGCGGGCGGACGGGCAGGAGAGCGGGGCGAGGGGGGGGGGTCGGCCTAGCTGCCTGGACTGGAGGCGTCTCCCCTCCTCAGCCATGGCGGCCTCCTCCTTTCCCAGCCTGCCTCTCTCGGCTGACTAGAGGCTCGGGAGGGGGCAGCCAGCCTTGCTGGGTCCGCCGGGAGAGTGTGCAGGATGCTCGCGAGGGATCCCGGAGGTGCCGAGCGCCTTTGCCCTGGGAGGCATGGCTCCTTACAATCCTCCACGCCGATGCCAAAGGCAGGGCTCCCCCCCCCCCCCCCCGCGCGCGCTTTCCCAAAGAAGTTCCTCTCTCTCCGCTCGAACTTGCGTTTGCTTTCCGAAGTCTCTCTGGTCATTTAAACTCGGCCCGCAAAGAACACGGCCCTGTTCTGCGCACGTGTGTCCCTGCAGGCTCTTCGGCAGAGATGCACGCTCAGCAAGGCTGCGGAATCCGGGGCCGTGGCGCCTCGGTGGGGCGAAATCCTGCCTCTCCGCTTTCACTCTGCTCCTCGCTTAGCTGTGAGTTTTAGGGCGTCGCTTTCTAGCTTTTGCAAATGCCCCCTCCCCTGCACACCCCTTCTTTTTGTCGGGGGCAGGCAAAAAAAAAGAAAAAGCCCTCCTCATAGCAAACAGCGACCTGCTGAGGGGTAGGGCGGGGGGAATTAGAATAATTTCTTCGTTTGTGCAAATGTAACCTGGATTTGGCGAATGTTAACTTCTCTCTCTCTCTCTCTCTCTCTCCTCCGCCCCAGCTTCGCTCACTTAACCGTTTAAACAAACATCCTATACAAAGCGTCCGGCTGGGGGGGGGGAGAAAGAGGCAGCTGTTCTGCCATTGTTCTTATTAATTATAAAAAGCAAACAAATGCATTTGCAAAAGAAAGCAAGAGAAAAACAGACAAGCAAATATAATCACTAGGAAAAGTGATTTTTTTTTTAAAAAATTAAACCCTAGTTCCCCGCCCGTCCTTCCGCATTTGCATTTAGGCTTGTTTGATTTATGAATGTGAAAATAGAAATGCATGTGCCGGTGGGACTAGCGTGCGGGCCCAAGGAGCTGGGCTTTGATCGTGTTATGCAGCCTGCAAGCACTCGCCAAACAGGGTTTGTGTGGCTGGAAATTGCTCCAGATAATAACAGTTTTAAACAATTCTTTAAAACCTATTTTTTTTAAAAAAAACCCTGCCCTTACTCTACATTTAGAAAATAAATGTAGCGATTCAGAACAAACAAAATCTTTCTCCCCCCCCCCCCCCCCACTCTCCATATCTTTTCACTCCTCTTTACTGTGGGAAGTTTGATCTGAATTCCGAAAGGGGGGGGAATAAAACATCAAAAAACAAAAATATGTTCGGGGCCACCAGTAAAGCGGGCAAGTAGCGATTCGGTCGGGTTGAGTCACCCAGGGGAGCCGGCGCTCCGGCGGCTCTCAGACCCGGCGTGGGCGATCTGAAAATACCCTTTAAAATACCCGCAAATCCAGAAACATCGAAAATTACAAGACATTATATTCTTAAAAAATAAACAAACATCACAGCAGAGGGGAGAAGGTAATAAAAATATCCAGGGAAGTTAGCCGAGGCTTGCTTTTTGCAAAGGGCTTGGAATTTATTTTTTTAAACCCCCTGTGATCTTGCACATGCCTAAACTTGGGGGGGGGACTGGGGGGGATAGAGAACAAACAAGCCATTCACTCCCCAATGTAGCCGGTGGCAGAACCTCTCTCGATCTGTATGGCTCAGAGCTGAATCCCCTGGCCGAGCGCGGGACAACGTTGAAAATAACTCGACTACGATCTCGAGACCATAGAGCATTTTTTTGGGTGGTGGGGGGTGGTGGTGTTATTTTTGTGTCCTTTGTCCCCAGAGGAACCTGCTTAGTTGTTGAGGGTTCTAAGGAGCTGAAGCCAGGATTCCTTTGTCTGTTTGCCTGCCTTTCCGAAAGCGGTCACTCCGCAGTTTCAACCACTACAAACCAGAAAACATCGAGCGGTGACTGTAAGCTGACCTTTTACAAATGTATGTGGAAGGGCACATTCCCATATCGAATCCTCCCCCCCCCCCCCCCGGAATTTATTTGCGCCGAGATCTGGAGGGAAGAGAATTCCCTGGTCGGCTGCTTTGTGGCTCTCCGCGGTGGTTGCGAATCCTGGACTCTCTTGGAGTGGAGGTCGGGGAAGGGCCGGTGGCCAGACCAGGGTGAGGCCCAGCAGCTCTCGAGGTCCCACCGACCGACCCAGAAAGGAAAGGAAGAAGGACCAGGGACCCTCCCTGCAAATCCAGCGGATCCTTCTACCCTTTCACTGGGGGGGGGGGACCTAGCCGACAAAGAGGACGGATTTTCAAAGCAAATTCCCCCTCCCACTCCGTGTTTGTGTGTGTATATGTGGTCCCCCCCTTTTAATTAAAGAAGATAAATGTTTGTTGATAGGCGCTCCCCCCCCCCTCGAAGTGAGATTTACTTTCCTTTTCTCTCTCATCTGTTTAGAAACGCGTGTGGTGGTGAGGGCTGGTGTGTGGCGCTGCCGTGACCAGCGAACTAGCAAGGCAGGCCGCCTGCCTGCTCCAAATATACTGAGAGAGAAAAAGGAGGGGGGGGGGAGAGAGAGAGGCCGTCCGACCCTTGTGGATAAATTTTAGGTGGGCCATTGGAGCAAGGCTCGCTGGTTGTTTGGGCGCTCTGGGAAGAGGCCCCCCCCCCCCCCGCCCGCCCGCCGCCCCATGGCTGACTCCGGATCGCTGCTGTCGGTTGAGGCTGCAGCCTTCGAGGTCTGTCCCGGGCCCGGTGGGGTTGTGAGCGAGGCGGCGCGTCCCTCCTGGGCTATTCGGTCTCTGGCTCTCTGTGTGGCTCCGCTTCTGAGCAAGGCTTTGTGCTCTTGGTTTGTCTCCCCGCGTCCTGCAGGCTCCAGCACCAAGCCATCGGACAGAGCGGCATGCGGTCCTTATCAGAGCCCGGCTGCCCGACTCACAGCTCGGCCGAATCTCCGTCCACGGCGGCCAGCCCCACCACCAGCGTCTCCAGCTTGACAGAAAGGGCCGAGACGGGCACGTCCATCCTCTCGGTCACCTCCAGCGACTCAGAATGTGATGTATGATGTCGGGAAGGCACGCGGGCCCCCAGGAGCGTCCAGCAGAAACAGGCGAACTTCGACGCGGACGCCCCAGGTCCGTCCCCCCCACCTCGGCCCCGGCCAGCACCGCCCGCCTGTCCCCTCTCCGAGATCCCCCCCCCCCAGAAAAGGAAGCCACTTTCAGAACACAGCTAGACACAGAAGTGTGTGTGTGTGGGGGGGGATATAAGCAGACGTTGAAAAGGTTTTAAAAAAACATTAAAATGCAAACCTTCCTTAGCAATCAAAAGAAATAAGAAACAAACAAAAATCCACTCCCCGAAAAGGAACTTAAAAGAAAAAAAAAATAAACACTTGGGACAAGATGCTGATGCTGCAGCGGGGAACCGAACAACAGCAGCAGCAACAACAACAACGCCCGGTTATTATTAATATTATTCTTGAGAAAGAAAGAAAGGTGACATTTGTATTCTTTGTAGGAGAAAAAGCACGATCGAGCGCGCGCGCTCTCGCTCTCTCGCTCTCTCTTTTCCTTTTGAGTTCATTGTTTGCGCTTTCCCATGGACTGCATCTCACCCGTTTTGCATGACGAGGGTTCAATTTGTATCTGGGCTGGGGGTGGGCTGGGGTATAATATTCTCTATAATAAATGAACAATAAGGAAGAAAAACTAGGAGGTGGGGGGAAAACAGGAAAACGCCACTCGAATTTGTAAAAAAAAAATGGAGGGGAAAAAGCATTCTAAATTTTTTAAAGGAACTCTTTGAAGAGGGAACTATCCCACGTTTATCGCCTTTTTTTTTGGTTGGGTTTTTATCAGTCTCTGTCTTTCTTTATCATCCCCCGCCCCCAAGTCCAAATGAAGGCTTAAACTAGATGCAATTTTTGGTCTCCTCCTCTTTCTCCCTCGGTGGTTGTTGTTTTAATTTTTTTTAATGCTTTTGTTCAACAGACAATCATTTCTTCGTAAGCACCTTTTTTTCTACACTTCTGTCACTGCCTGTGTGGGTACTGGTTATAAATGTGGAAAAAAGAATAGTTATGACTGTAACAGATTTTTATTTTTATTTCAAAATTTTATATGAATTATGTATATCTTAATGATGCGGTCATTTTCCCAGTTTGTAATATATGTGTAGAAATTGCTTGTATATGATATTTGCTCTTCTCTTCTCTGGCCTCCTCTCTCTGTCTCCCCTCCGCTTCTCTCCCCCTCCCTTCTCCCCTCTCTTTTTTAAAACAACATTTTCCCTGACGAGTTCCTTGCACAAACTTAGCTGTCAAGAGGTGACGGGCTAGGTTTCCGAAAGGGACCCCAAGTGATAGACGACATGAAGCTTAGGGTACCACTGTAGTTATCTTATGCAAAAAGCATTTTTGAGTATTTAAATAGCAGCTTTTGGGGTCTCTTCTAAAACTCCACGTAGGACGCTTATACCACTGTTTCCTTTACTGCGTGTTTATCTATATGTACAAACTTTCTAAAAAAAATCAAATACAGTATTCCATTTTCTTATCTATTCATTGACGTTGGTGTTTTTCGTCTGCTGTAAAGACATGCTGATCTCTTATTAGCTCCCTTTCTTTTCCTCTTTGCCGACAGAGAAAGTGAGATTGGTTTGTTTGTTTGCTTTTTAAAAAAATCTCCTGTTGAACGTTTTGCTTCCTTTGATCGATCGGTGCTTTAGGCGCATTGAGGGCTTCCGGATCCAGAAGCCAGTTAAGCCGAAGCTTTTGCGTTGAAGCCAGTTTAGCTCCTTTGACCTCGAAGCCTCTTGTCAGAAGCGGCGCCCTTCGGAGCTGCCCCGTGCATTAGCTGCGGTAGGACTACCCAGGAGTACAAAGGTTTCGGTAGGAGAGCCTAACTCGGGTGACACTCGAGTGCTGCGGTTTTGTGGGTTGTGGATGAGTGTAAGAAATTTGTCTGAAAGCACGTTCGCGGTTCAATGGAAGTAAGTGCCGCTGATGTCTGTGGGGTTTACATCCCACTTACTAAGCGCGTCTGTGCGTGAGTGTGTGTTTTAAGGATCAGTGTGCCAGATTGCAAGACTCAAGACCTATGAAGTATTATTTTAAATCAGTGTCTTTGGTACGGTGCGTGCGTGTGTGTGTGTGAGTGCTAAATGAGACCGAAATAGCCCCCCCCCCGAACCTGGGACGCGTGCACGGGTTAGTGGGAGGAAGGGGGGGCGCCTGGCCCGGATGGATCCAGACGCGCCTTGTGTTGACCCCTGAGGAGAGAGAGGGAAAGAAAAACTTTAAACCCACTTAAAAGGATCTTGGCCGCAGAAGAATGTCAAATGGGCTCTGTCGGGTGTGTGAGGTACAAAGTGACCCCCCCCCACACACACACACACCATACACCCAGCCTAGTCTCTGTTGTTGAGGTCTGTCTGCACTCGTCGGTTCAGCTTCCGTTGGAATCGGCTTCTAAACCTCTGTGAGACGAACTCGAACCCCCAGCGACAGTTCCTGGATGTGGGTGGGTGCGAACGACATTTCCAGAAGAGGGGGCTTTCGATCGCAGCCCCCATAATTTGATGCCCCCCCCCCGTGGTCATTTGAGTTCCTCTGGTTTCTTTCCCCTTCCCGCCAGAAATCAGCCTAGATGAGGGACTCCCCTTTGTTTAGAGGAGGGGGGGGGTTGGTTATTTTTTTTGGTCTGTAGCTTTAAATGCAAACATCCCCCCCCCCCCCCCCCGCCGCTGCCACCTCCCAGACTCCTTCTGCCCTAATCAGTTTAGGGCTCCTCCCCTCCAGTCCTAAGTAGATGGTTAATGTGTTGAAAGGAGCCATTCTTCGGCCTGGCGACCGGGGGTCCCGCGTCACCTTTGGCGCATTGAAAAAGTTTTTTTGCCTGGCCCGGGGCAGGTTATTCAAGCGTGAGTGAAGAAGAGGTGAATTCTAAACTTGTTTTTACTTGAAAATACAATTTTGAAACTTTGATTGGGATTAGAGAGAAACGTGCCTGGAATTTTTCTTGACCGTTTCCAAACTCGTTTGGGATTTCCGAATCAACCCCCCCCCCCGTTCAAGTGGTTGGTTGCCAAAGGACAGGGGATCTTCCTGGGGGGAGGAGGGGGCGGAAAGGATTGGGGGAAAGCAAAGCCAGAGACACCCGGGTTTGGGAAACGGGATTCTGGCCTTAGCTTCGGTCAAAAGGGCGCTTGGAGTAGTTTGACTCCGGAACCCAGATCGTCGGGAAATAAAGCCGCAACCCCTAGACACACTTACTCGGGAGTAAGTCCTGTTGAACAGACATTCTGAGCTAGTATGGCTAGGAGTTGCCCTGCAAGACACACCGGGCGGGATCCAAGCCCCTTAAAACTTCTGGTCCCATAGCCCTCAGTAGAAGAGACTGAAGATGGCTTCCTTCTCCCCTTGAAACCCGCGGGACTTGAAATCGGTTCACTTGGACCTGGATCGGGCCGGTGAATTTCCCCGGGCCTTCTGTAGCTGTCTTAAGGATCAGAAGGGAGATGCCGAAGGGAGAGCGAGAGCACCCAAAGAGAGATCCGCTTATTTTGACTTTTTAAAAAATCGCTTGTTGGGCCTGTCATAAACTCTTCTAGGGAACAGTTCGCCCGAAGCCTGCACGTTTCCCTAAATCACAGCGTTTCTGTGGCAATAAATAGATACAGGAGATTTTACCTGGCCTTCTTGGAATGCGGGCAACAGGCATGTATTGGGAGGCTTGCGAGTGTCTTAGGCATCTAGCTCCTGTTCGGGTGTACTTCCTCTCCGTCAGCGACCCAACAGGAGACAGAAGTACAGGTTTATTTCTCCAATATTGCTGAAATATATATTTCAAACATAAGAGGCAGCCAATAGCATCTCACGGTTAAATCGAATCACTTCGAATGCTTTCCAAACTCACCGCAGGGATCGGCAACACCCCCCCCCCCAGTTCCTGTCCTGGGACAGAAATCGGCTCAGGTCCAAATCGTTGCTCTTAACTCTGTCCAGGAGCCTCTGCATGGGCCTCTTTGCGCTGGAAAGGCTCACCCCACAGAGAAGTCCTTCGCAGGTCTTCAGTCGGATGCCCCCCCCGTCCCCTGACGCCCAAGCAAGGGCGCGTGGGGATTGCTGTCGGGTGCGATTCCCGTGTTCCTTCTGCATCCTTTTTGTATCGCAGTGAAGCGGGCTTCGAATCAGCTCCACTGCCGTGTAAAGCGCCGCCACCCCCACCCCAGCAACATAGTCTGTCTTAAATTTGTCGGCTGGAAAAAGAATCGTTCAGATAGGTCGCAGATTATACATGCCCCCCACACACACCTTTTTCTTTTCCAAAAATAAACCCGAATTTGTGACCATTTTGCCTCTCGAGTATCTCAGCTCTCAGGGGAATGAGCAGTGTGAGGCCAAGTTCCCTCCAGGAGGTATTTTGCTTCCTAGTTCTTGACGGCTTTGTGTGTGTGTGTGTGTGTGGTTTTTTAAAATTTATTGCGAGAGTTGACTTTGTCTACTGGTTGCTTGTAAGAGAATTTAGTAACTTGACATCATTTTCCGGTATGGAAGAGTTCGTTCCGCACCTCCTCGGAGTGCGGAGTCCGCAGATGCCTTCTCGTAGTCTTTCCGATAAGGACCCATAACCCGCAGTCTGACCCTAAGGCAGACGAGAGCTCCATTAGTCTTCGACGAGGCTGCCTCGTAGGTATGGACGTTCAGGCTCCTTAGAGTCCCAAAGCCTCGACTCAGCCGCGCTTTGATTCGAAGTCCCTCGAAGTCAATGGGAATGAAATCGGTTTGTGTTCTACCATTCGGCCTCCGCCGCCGGGAACTATTCTAACCAGATGTGCTCTTAGATCATGACTTCATCATAACTTTATGAAGCAGCTGTCGGGCTTCGAGAGGAAATCTCCTGTTGACTTCTGTTGCTGTGGCGAGCGGGGCAAGCGGAAGCCGGTTCTGTTAAAATCCGGTGTTCTTGGCCCAAATGATGGCCCGGGACAGGAAGTTATCAGGACTTTTCACTGTAAGCCGCCTGTCTTAGAAATAATTCTTTTTTAAAAAAAATAATCAGA